CCTTAAACATCCGCCATTAGTTTCATACGCCCAAATCACAAATTGTATCAAAAATCGAGCCTGATTAGCAAACATTCGTATGTTAGACCTTCGTTAATTGGACTACTCCGGAATCACTCGACGCCGGAGAGCCTTTCGGAATTTCTCCGCGCTTTTGAAAATTCATTCCTGCGCTCCTACTTGAGAGTAAGTAATGAAACCGCTGTCTTTTATTGAGAATTTAATTCTCTATCGATCGGCATCGGTTTCATTCCTTCATCTTAATTAGGGTGGGAGAAATGAATTTTCNTTTATTGAGAATTTAATTCTCTATCGATCGGCATCGGTTTCATTCCTTCATCTTAATTAGGGTGGGAGAAATGAATTTTCAAATCGGGAGAGCCCTTCCGGGCTTACTCGACGTCGGAAAGTCGTTCGGAGTTTCTCCGCGCTTTTGAAAATTCATTCCTCCGTTCCTAACTGAGATTAAGAAATGAAACCGATGTCATTTATTAAAAATATAATTCTTAATCGGTAAGCTTTGGTTCCATTACTTCATCTCAATTAGGGAAGGGAGAAATTCATTTTTGAATGAGAAGAACTTGTTCGGAATTACTGCGCGTTTTGAAAATTCATTCCTCTCCTAATAGAGACTAAGGGAATGAAACCACTGTCATTTATTGAGAATATTATTCTTGATTGGGGTTCCGTTTCGGCAGCACAGTAGTTTGGAAGTGTGTCTGTTGAAGTGTCGTCTTTATACGTTTTTTAACTGTGTTGCGTGCTACTCTGAGTTTTTACGTCTGTCGCGGACCTGCCGCAAATACCCCTGGAGCATTTTGTGATATAAATTGGTCTGATACCTGTGGTGCGAGATTTTTTTTTTGCGGTTTTTAATTCATGGCAACTTTTGAGGTTACCTGGTGAGAGAGCAAAATAAAACCAAAAAAAAAATGAAATAGTGCTATAAATCGAGTCGGAAAAAGAGGGCTCCTAAGCTTCCACATACCTACTAAGGCAAGCCTCATGCCGCTGAGCAGCATCTCTGAATCAAAACTATCATCAACCCCGAAAGGCAGAACCACCGTCGGTACACCTGTTCCCTCTCGACTCGACCTTTCTTCCACACTACGCGCACAATCACCATCAACACCCAAAGAATCTAGCAAAGGCAGACTTCAAACTGCGGCCACTTGGGTGAAGCACAAGGATCCCTCAAGGCCTACTCTCACTACCTTCTTCACCATACCCGAATCCAAGAGGAAAAGAGACTCGTCCCCTAACTGCTCCACCTCCCCTGAATCAGAAAGAGCTTCGAAACTCAGAAGACCTAAATCCGTCTCACACCTGGCAGAGCTAGATTGTTCAGCTTCTGAATCTGACTTTAGTTCCTGTTCCTCATCACCAATCCCTACATTACCCTCCCCTACCATCGGAACCACCACAGACGCATACACCGACACGATGCCTGGCAACGAGGAGACTATCCTGAAGCTGCTGGAGGGAATGAGACAGGACAGCAAAAATGATTTTGCAGCTCTCAAAAACCAGAACGATAAAATGGAAAATAAATTTGATGAAATGGAGAAAATGCTCTCTGAACAGGCTAAACTGCATGACGAAAAGCTCAATCTTCTCAAGTCTGAAATGACTGCTGAAATATCCAAGATTCATGACAACTTCAACTACAGGTACAAGAGACTCGAGGATGAAATCAAATTGATGAAAGCACAAATCGAATCAGGCTCTTCCTCTTCTTCTCACCCAGCTCAGATCCCCTCTGAAGTAGAAGATAGACTAGAGGAATTGGAAAAACAGGCCAAACGCAACAATATAATCATTGCTGGTCTCCAGGTTCACAAGGGTGGAAATATCAAGGACCAAGTCAATGATTTCCTCATTTCATCACTGAAAGTCAGTAGCTGCGTGGCCTCAGCTAAAATCGTCGGCTCTAGAGGCTCTCTTCCTGTTATCCAGGTTGAACTGAACAACTTCGAGTCCAAAATGGCCATTTGGAATGCCAAGAAAGCCACTCACCTCCTCAACATATTCATCAACAGGGATCTAACACGTAAAGAAGGAGCAATTGACAAGATCATCAGAGACCAAGCGAAAGCTCTCAAACAACAAGGGCATGTTGGGCTATGACCTATATCTTCGGAACCTTGATTACCAGAGCTACCTGTCTTCCAAATCCAGCCAACTGCATATCCAAAGATTTCCTTCCGATCCCCTCCCTAAGTACCACCAACTTCGTCTCTCTCTCTCCCTGAAAAAACAAATAGCCCAACTCCGTCTAGCAAATACTCACTACGGTTCCTTCAATCTAAAGAATGACAGATTCATGATTATACCATCCCAGCTTTGCTCCCACTGCTCATCCCTAGGACTCTTTGAATACGAAACCATTCCACACATATTTTTACATTGCTCGCTTTACTCTGCTTTTAGGGAACAATACTTGACTACCTTGCTTTGCTCATCCACAGAAGACGATTCAGACGAGGCTCTANGGGCGGTATTCTCGGTAAAAAACTCCCGGTTCCCCAAGGTGCTAATAGATGGCGCCACATAGATTTTTGATATGGAGATAAGGAGGTCTCACATAAATGAAGTAAAGATGTGTTTATCACAAACGACTTATATTTATTCAGTTCAAACACTTAGTAATTAGTAATTAATACAAAAGCGGAAACGCCACAGCTGTGGTGGGTTAGATGATGAAATGAGAATGATAATAATAATAATTCGGATGATTTCGTGAAGCTCCGCTAGCCCGATCGCGGGACTAGTGTCTGTTTGCGTCGTTGGCGCTGAGGACGAGCTCCGTCGGTAACGCTGAGTTCTGGTTGAGCCTCAGCCGCCACATTGACAGGTCAAAAAGCCGACAACTCGCCCGGGTAATTTACCAACTTTATGACCGGTCAAAAACCATGTAATTTACCTAAGGTAATTTACTTGCCCAACCCTGCTCCGCGCTCTTGAAAATTCATTCCTCCGCTCCTACTTGAGTAGGATAGGATAGAATTTCCCAAAGATTCCAAAAAGCTTCATTGTTCGTCGTGCATAAAAAGTGGGGATCTTCGGGAAACTCCTTGCGATCGCAAGACTTTTACCGATTTATTTTTCTCCGTGTGACGTCCGTATAGAAGATCAAACAATCAATTTAACAATGGGATAAATGGCGTGGAGAGAAAAACGTGAATATCTCCGAAATTAGATGCGATAAAATGGGCCCTTTTCACGTGGACGTACACATATAATTGGACTGAAATTTATAGAAATTTTTAATTTGCAATGACGAAATTCCTTGAAATTTCCGTATTACGGCAACGCGATAAAAATTCCCAATAAGTGTTCCCAATATTACTGAAACCTACAGACATCATTCTTGAATTCAGGACTTTCCTTTGATTTTCAGGATCATGTCACTGGAAATTTTTTACAAAGTGATTTAATTTTAACGTTGCTTGCTCATTGCATTTTAGAAATGCAGCTCCCTAAAAAAGACACATCGATTCCTGGGAACAACGTTTTTTTTTCTCGGTAGATACAGACAATAGAGAAATGTCAGAGTGGAGTTCCCGGATTTTTTTTCACTCTCGATTAATTTTTTAAAGATTCAAATTGATACTTGATTCATTCACATCGTTTCATTTCATCGGGAGATATTGTCGATTGGAGACAATTTTTTATGGTCACTGAAGGAGGCAAACCATTCATCTAAATCTCGCAATAATCTGCGAAAAATCTTATTCATTAATCTATTATTATTGAATTAATCCCATTATGTGTAGATCGCTGGAGAACAACGAAAACGTCCCAACCGTTCAAACGAGTTGAAATGTTTTCTCTCTCCTTCTTCTCCATTTTCGTTCTCACTCGCACTCGCTAAGTTTGGCGGAGGACGGGCACGTGCCAACGCGAAGGAGACGACAATGAGTGGGAGCGAGCGCGATACATATTCCTTTCTCACTCAGGGGAGGAATAAATATATATAATCGAACATTACTATAGTAAAAATAAACAAAATCTGCACAATTATTCAATAAAATCACTGGAAAACTATAGAGTTTTCCAGCGACAGCGCTGGGATTTTCTATGAATTTTTTGACCTACGTATCAATAATAAATATGTCGAGAAAAAGGAAAAGACTTTTAGATCATTAGATTCTGCATTCATTATACTATTGATTATAATATGTTCGATTTTACATTCCTGACAATTATTACAAAATGCGAGGAGCTACCGTATTGAGAACCCCTTTCCGGTTATCGACAAATTTANGCGAGGAGCTACCGTATTGAGAACCCCTTTCCGGTTATCGTCAAATTTAAACTCGGGCCCTACCATACCAACAGTTCCGTACGCTCATTGTAGTCCATGCGCCACCACTACGAATTTTGCTGTTGGACACTTTACATTGGCCATGCTTATCTCCCCTATGATCTCTGCTTCTAGTGGCAACGCAGGGTCCCTATGACCGCCAGCAACCTTGCCGACACCGAGTTACCGAATAAAAATTTCTGTCATCTATATAGATAAGAATTGACCGTCAGAATTGAATTGGCCGTTGTTCGAATTCCTGACAGACTCGTCAGATTTATGGACATGGTAATTACCCGTCATGACCGCGGTAATTGACCGTCATTTGACCGGTCATTTTTGTCACTCACATCCCTAGTTTGCACCATGAAGAATAGATACCAGGGGCGAGTTTTCGGTTCAAGTTAACCACGGTTAACGCGTCGTTAAGTTAAGTTGGGTCCCCCCGCCGCCGCTCCATTCCATCTGTGCTGAAAATGGCGGCACCTGTGTTTACGTGTGTAATCGATTCAAATGTGAATATGGCATATGTGGTTTTAATTAAATTTTTGTAATGAACAACGTTATCAGTGATTTAATTGGTGGTGCTGGACGTTATCGTCCTATTCGACGTAACGCAGAACCAGTTAACCACTTTGAAATTCTACCAGAAATACAATTCAGGGAACGATACCGTTTGTCAANAGTGATTTAATTGGTGGTGCTGGACGTTATTGTCCTATTCGACGTAACGCAGAACCAGTTAACCACTTTGAAATTCTACCAGAAATACAATTCAGGGAACGATACCGTTTGTCAAAAAGAGCATTCCTACACGTGCTCCGGAGAATAGAGCATGGTCTGAGAAGACCTCTTCGAAGGTAATTATTATTTTCTATAATCGCTTTGCACTGGAGGTCGAAGAATTACTTTGAGGTATTATCTATGCCCTGGAGTGAGGTTGAACCAACAAACTGTGTGCAGTAAATGAGCACTGTTTTTTTTTTAGAAATCACAGGATCACTTCGAGTATTCAGTTATTAGTGGCTCTACGTTTTTTTGCTACTGGTTCATATTTGATTACTGTGGGAGACACAATGAACATAAGTAAATCAGCAAGCTGGGAAATTGTCCATCGAGTAGCTCCACTTATAGCAGCCTTGAGCCCTGACTACATCAGATTCCCATCAACTCCAGAAGCACAAAGGCAAGCTCAGGCTGAGCTGTTTGCCAGATCTGCATTCCCCAGTGCAGTATGCTGCGTTGATGGTAGACAAGTTCGAATCCAAAGTTATGGTAAGAAATTAATCCCTGTTATCAATATTTTTCAATTTGAGTAACAGCTACATGTAAATTTTCAAAGATATAGATTTTAGTTCAAATTCAGATAGGAGTATTCATTGACTTTATCCCACATGTAATAAATCCAAAGAGATTGAATATTTTATACCTATCGATCATAATTTCAATGTACAGAGACTTCAGTATAGCTGTCTATCTTAAGAAATTCAAGTTGAGACTTACCATCCTAAATTGAGATTTATGGAAGTCTCCAGTTGAGACTTTGAAAACCTTAAGTTGAATTTTCCAAGCCTCAACTTGAAACTGACAGGTGCCAACCCTGTGGTTGGGACTTTCGAAAAGTCGTTTTAAAAGACTCAACTTGAGATCTTAAAAATCTCAAAATCAGGTTTTTTTTCGGGTGTTGTTGAAATGTCTATAATTTCTCATAATTGACATTCCTGAATGGACTCAACGATCATCTCATTGCTCAATAATAATTTATATGTTATCTGTTATTGAG